ACCACCACCACCACCACCTCCACCACCTCCTCCACCTCCTCCACCTCCTCCACCCACCCAGCATCATGGTCTCATCTGCAGCTTGTCTCGGATTTAGTTGGTAGGAGCTCATCTCCATGTCATGCATCACCTGTGGAGCGGGGTGGGAGTTGGGGCGATGAGTGTTTTGGCTTCCTAGGAGGAATTGCCGCCAGAATGCTCCTGAGAAGCGAGGATGGTGAGACTTTATCGCACAAACTGTGGACATGGGATCGAGTGGGGCCAGTCTCCGGAGAAGGACCTCATGCTCAGTAAAGCAGAGAGGCAGCGAAGAGGACAGTCCACAATGAGCCGTGTGGACCCCATGGCTGTGATGCCGGGCTCGGACATGACAGCGTGAGGGAGGATGGCTCCGGCCCAGGCGGTCTTTTTTCCTGCCGTCCGTGGGTCCCTAGGTGTCGGAACCAATTCGACAGCACCTACCACCACCACCAGTTCAACACCAGGAACCATGCCGCCTGGGGTGGGGCCAGGTGGAGCAGCCATGGGCTTCCTGACAAGCATGAGGTGGATAGACACCTGGTACCATGCGTGTGAAACCAGGGCTCCAGCAAGGACCCCCTAGGAAGATGGGGCTGGCTTGCATGGTTCTGACAAGTGTCTCAGGGGTTCCTCTGGCAGCTGCCCTGCCAGGAAAGCACCTGGCATTAATTCGGAAGGTGTAAAAGTGCCCGCTCAGTGGAAGTGAGCTGAGTGGGCCTGGCCAGCTCCCGGGCCTTGGTGTCTGTCCCCAGCCCTGGACAAGAGAATCGAACCAGATAGCCCCAGAGGATGCTTTTACCCTCTCGGGTCTTTTTCCAAGGTTAACGTGATGAAGATGAGCAGCCCAAGCCCAGCCCCCACTCCTTCCTCCTGCACCCAGGAAGGACCCAGGCCCAGCACCTTCCAATCAGAACACAGCTCTTCTGTCCTCCCAAAGAGACAGAGGCCACGCACCCTAGCCTTGTGCTCAGCAACTAGAAAGGCCCTGCGTCTTCAACAGCAGAACAGTCAAGCCCTTTGGTCTGATTGGGGCTAATGTATTAGTCGGAGGTTTTACCACGGTCATTCTTTTAATGGCAGAGAACGGTTCACAAGCATAAGCAGATGTGGACAAAAGCCTCCTCCCTGGCCGCGTGTGCACGACGGTGTCTTGGCTTCCCCTCGTCCACCGTCTGTAACATGAGAGTCAAACCCACCGAGAGCCAGACAGCCACCGCCCGTTGCTCAGAGCACGCACAGAACTGCCTGGTGACAGAACAGTGCCCGTCCACACGCAGCCTGGGAGACCTCGAGCTGTCTGGCCGGGAGCCAAGAGTGCCTGCCGTGTTTGGTCACTTTGATGTTGGCTTTGGGGTCAGCTCGGGTCAAGCCCAGGTTTGGAGGCAGAGGAGGGCACTATGGGCCTCGTTCGCTGGTCAGTCTCTCTTGCCCCACCCTTGTTTGTGTTCTGATAGAGCAGACAGGACCCTGACCCTCATCACTGATCGGAGGTCAGCATGGGAAGAGCCACGTGTTTCCTCTCCGCTCCAGCACCACGAACTCGTACATCAGCACCTGGGGCTGGCACGTTAGTCAAGGCTGACTTGTGCCATCCCAGGGTTGGTGCCCCCCAACCACTCCAAACCAGGTGCCATCGGTCCATTCTGACTCAGTGCAGAGCAGAGCTGAGCCCCATGGCGTTTCATGGATACAAACCTTCAGAAGCAGGTCCCCAGCCCTTTACTCTGAGGCACCTCTGGGGGGGGCTCGAGCTGGTGATTTTAGTCCCTTGTTGAGCTCTTCACCCTCTGCACTGCCCAAGGACCCCGTCTATGCTCCCTAGGTGGCTGAAATGTGCTACCGGGCTTCAGAACCTCCCACAGAGCCACACCTGCAGTCAGCTTTGTTCGCAGGTGACAGCGCCCTATGCCACGGGTCGGCAAAGGGCGGCTCTCAGACCATATGCAGCACTTTCAGTATGCACACGTGGCTCTTGGAGTAATGTTGGAACCCTTTCAAGGACATGGTTCAGATGATGATTTCATCTGTTTGGAAAAATAAATGTATGGCTCTTGAATAATTTATGAATTGTTGTGAGGGACAGGATTGGCTCTTCTGTCTCAAAAGTTTGCCAACCCCTGCCCCGTGGAATGCATGGAAGATGTCCTTTAGATGTCTGCAGTGTATTCACTCTTGCTAATATGGTGTGTCGGGTCATATTCCTGTGTGCCTCGCTCACACACTGCCATAGACACAAGACTGACACAGCAGCCCTATAGGACGGAGCAGTGCTCCTGTGGGTTTTGGAGACTGTAACTCTACAGCAGTGGTTCTCAACCTGTGGGTCATGACCCCTTTGGGGGTTGAACGACCCTTTCACAGGGGTCGCCCAATTCATAACAGTAGCAAAATGACAGTTATGAAGCAGCAATGAAAATAATTTTATGGTTGGGGTCACCACAACATGAGGAAATGTATTAAATGGTCTCGGAAGGTTGAGAACCACTGCTCTATAGGGATAGAAAGCCTCACCTTTTTTCCAAGGAGCAACTGATGGTTTCAAACTGCTGACCTTGAGGTTAGCAACCCAACACACAACCACTACTCTACCAGGGCTCATACATAGGCCAAAAAACTCACTGCCACCAAGTCAATTCTGACTCATAGTGACCGTATACAACAAACTAGAACTGAGCCCCTATAAATTTCAAAAACTGTACATCTTCACGTGAGTAGAAAGCCTCATCTTTCTCCCGAGGAGTAACTGGTGGTTTTTGAACTGCTGACCTTGTGATGTGCACCTCATCACATAAGCCACGACACTACCAAACCAAAGCAAACTCACTGCCATCAAATCGTTCCAACTCATGGCAACCCTGTAGGATAAGACAAACTGCCCCTGTGGATTTCTGAGACTGTAACCCTTTACAGGACTAGAACGCCTCAAAGTTCTCCTGTGGAGCAGCTGGTGGTTTCAAACTGCTGACCTTGTTGGTTAGCAACGCATCAGGGCTCCTAGGTACCTGCCTGGTCCTTAAACTCGAGTCCCTAGCAGTAAACATTAGAGCTCTGTGCCCCCTGGTGGCTAGCTCATAACATTGCACCTTAGACAACAGCAATTTGGAACACAATGTTTTGCGAGGTGGGATTTCCCCCAGGGTCATGACACAGAGTTATCCAAGAAGCCCGAGAACATACAAAATCGGAGACGTTTCTACCCAGATTTTCTATAGGAATTATTTAGGTAGCCTAAACCAAAACCTACTGCCATCAGTCAGTTCTGACTCCTCTCAACTCTCCACAGGGATTCTCCGGCCGTCTGTCTTTACTGAAGCAGACCGCCTCATCTTTTTTCCATAGAGCACCCAGTGGATTTGAACTGCTGACATTGTGTTTAGCAGCCCAGCACCTGACCTGCAGTGGCACCAAGGCACACCCAAGATAATGTAACTCTACTTTGAGGATGGCTGACAAATCCCAGAGGAGGCAAATCCCCACTCAGAACCGATCGTGCTTTCCAAAGAAAACGCGTGGCCTTGTTTGTGCTCAAGCCCTCTGGGAATGTCAGGGAAGCCGTCCCAAACAAGGTGTACCTCCCTGGGTGATGCAGCTAATCTTGTAGAGAACTTCATCAGTGAGGGTGCCAGTCATGACAGTAATAGCGCCAGGCAAGGACCACTGGTGCCACTTCGGTTAAGTGCTGGCTGCTAACCCCAAGCTTCCACTCCACACATCTTCCTCCCTCAGAGTCAAACCTCTGACCTCCGGGTTAGCTGCAGAGCATGTCACCAGGGTTCCAAAAAACGGGCCTTCAACCCACTGGCAATGGATGGATGCCAGCTCATAGGTGGAGCTGTCAGGTAAGCCTTGCTTTGTTAACCTCAAGGTCAGCGGTTCAGGAGAACCAGCCACTCTGCAGGAGAAAGAGGAGGTTATCTGTTCCCAGTGAGAGTTACAGCCTCAGAAGCCCTACACAGGGTGGCTAGGGGGATGTCCACCCAATGGCAGTGGGTCTCCAGAAAAGACCACAGGGCTACATCCTTGTATGTGGAAGAAGGGGTGGCGGGGAGATTTAAAGAGGAACAGTTAGTTGAGCCTAAAATGCAACAACCAAGCCTACCCTTCGGCCCGTCCCTAACTGAGCATGCCTGCAGTCACCCAGAACTTTAATATCGCACACACGCCCTCGCTGAGGCTGTCTCTCTCCGCAGGGCTGGACGAGAAGGCGGGGAACGTGGCGCAGGCCCAGAGCTGCTGTGCCTCCTGCAAAGAGTTCCACCAGATGAAGCAGACGGTGCTGCAGCTAAAGCAGAAGGTGGGTGCCTGTAGGAGCCGGGGAGCCAGAGACACCTGGCTGTCTGATCAGGTGAGGAAAAATGCGCATTGATTCCAGGCCTCACTGGTCGGACGGACTCATGCTCTCATTCTCTCTGATGAAGACTTGGATGGGAGGCCTGCGCTGGGACAAGTAAGTTTGGGACTCTGATGCTTTCCTCACGGCCCTGTGGGCTGAAGATCTAATGACAAGTAGGCACCACAAAGCCTGGAATCTGTTGTCGTTGGCTCCCCCCACCACCACCACCACCACCACCACCATGGCAACCCCTTTATGACATAGTAGAACTGCCCCCAGAGAGTTTCCCTGGCTGCAGAAATGGCTCACCAGGCCTTTCCTCCGCAGGCCCTCAGAGCAGATCGGAACTGCAGATCTTTGGGGTCTCAGGCCAATGATTGCAGGCCAGTCATGCTGGCCACAGCCCTGGAGGCTGGGCGCTGTTTATGGCAGCCTGCACGCATTGACTGGCAGGTTATGGAAGTAGCCTACTCGAGGGGGCAGGGGGCAGCGCCAGGGAGTCCAGCCTGTGACTTTGTGACGGTGATGAGAATGGACAGACACAGCGCCCTGGGCCAGGCTTGTGCGATGGTATCGAATCATGCTGTCCCTGGACAAGGACACCATGCTTGGGAGAGGGACAATGAAAAGGAGGAAGGCCCTCAATGAGATGGACTGACACAGTGACTCGGGTGTGGGAACAACTGTGAGGCTGGCACAAGACCCGGCAGTGTTTCATTCATTCTGTTGTGCGTGGGGCCGCTATGGGTCGGAACGGACTCCACAGCCCCGGACAACAGTATTTTGTCCAAATCTACTCAGTGTATCCTCTCCATACACTTCTGTCAACCGGGCACCTGCAGCAGCTGTAGGTTTGAAAGTTAAATAGCAGTTCAGGCTCTGCCTGGGGTCCGTGTGTCTGGGCATCTCGGCCCCTAGAAGGGAGACACCATTTTTAAAGAGCACCCACCGCCATCGTTTGCGGCGTGTGGGAGTCATGTGCCCTGATGGCGAGGGCTGACTCTCGTCAGAGAAGGCTCCTGCCCACGGCTGACGGGCTCCCCGGGCTCGGGGGCTGGCCTAATGTCCTGAGAACGCCCCCTGATCAGGGACCTGACTTCCGAGTCCAGGGCCCAGCTGCCCCCAGAAAACTAAGCTCACTGCCATTGAGTTGATTCCAACTCAGAGCTACCCTATAGGACAGGGTAGAACTGCCCCTGTGAGTTTCCACGACCATCACTCTTTACAGAAATACAAAGCCTCATCTTTCCTCCGTGGAGCGGCTGGTGGTTTCAAACTGTGGACCCTGAAGTTAGCAACCCAGTTCATAACCACTATTCCAGAAGGGGGGCAAGGGGACAGAGGGGGGGCTCCTGTAGATGGTACTGATTGTCCCTAAGGTCACGCTGGTTTGCTGGTGCCTCAGAAGTTTCTCGGATGTCGTAAAACATAAACTTGCTGGTTTGTTTATTTGTCTGCTTCCCATTCAAGGCTCTTAGCACATCAAGCAGGTGTGGGCAATCTGCTTAACTTTGGCATCCGGTTATTCCAAAGAGCAAGCGGGCACGCATGAGCCGGGATCGCTTTTCAATGTCCAACAAGCGTGCAGGCCTGCCCCTTAATGAGAAGCTCACGTGAGCTAGCAGAGCCACAAGCTAAGAAGGGAAGCAGCCTGCCGGGCCTTTTGCACGTTCTTGGTGTGTGTGCTGTGAGTGCGACATGGGTTCTAACCCTACGGAGCCTGTGCTCATAGGGAGAGTAAGCAGAACAGAGGCATCGACGAATGCATCCCACATAGCTCTCCCCGGGCGAGCGTGGACTGATCGTAGTCTGTTGAGCATATCCAAAAAAGCGTTCGTGGAGGCCGGATCGACGCTTCAGCACACAGCAGTGCCGGCAACAGAGTGTTCTCAGGGGTGGAGGGAGGTAGCTGCCCAAGAGGGGAGGCCAGAACTACAGACGAGGTCTGTCTGCACACCCCTTTTGCCTGTGCTGGCGCCTGGACCAGTGGGGGCCGGCTCACTTCCTCTCCTGGCTGCCAATGCCTTCTCGTCTGTTCCTTGGGGAATCTCCAAAAGAGGGCAGGAGGCCTGCCTAAATAAACAGCGGCCCAGAAGCAGGTGTGGCGTCTGGGACTGAGGCCAACCCGCAGCATGCGAGGGTGTGGACACATGGTGCCCAGTCACTGAGCACAGCCCGGCCTGGGCCATGCCACAGCGGTCATTTGTCCGGAACAGGGGCCGCCGGAGCAGCCACCTGTGGATTAGCAGAAACTACGAGACGGGATTTTAGCGGAGCAAGGCTCACCCGGTCATGTCTAGCGATGCACTGTTTTCAACCACTCAAGCAGCCACCGTACACGTGGACTTCCCCAGGTGGGATTCACAGGAGTCTCACTGACTGTCTGTGGGGAGATGCCTCCGTGGAGACGCTCCTCGATGGAGGAGCCCAGATGAGGCCAGGGACACCTGTGAGTCACACCCCTGTGCACGTTCAGGTGGAAGCAGAAGCAAAAGAAGAGAGTAACTGTAAGGAATGGTGCAGGACAGGGCAGTGTTCCAACACCCACACCTAACAACCGCATTGTGTCCTTGCGTGTTACTTAGGAAGATACAACATATCATCAAATAGCTAGCCCTGTCTAGACTTACAACCACCCGAGAGCAGAGGAGAGGAACCCTGATGGTGTGGTGGTTTCACATTGGGCTGCTAACCCTGAGGTTCGCAGTTCGAAACCACCAGTCTCTCTGCAGTGGGGGTGGGGGGTGGGGTGAAGTTTCGACTCCTCTCGCGTTGTGGTCTCAGAAACTCACAGGGGCACTCCTGCCCTGTCCCACAGAGTCACCAGGGGGGAGCATTGGCCCCATGGCGGTGAGTTGAGTTATAGGAGGGTAGAACTGCCCTGTAGTTTCCAAGACTAAATCTTTACAGAAGCTGATTCACAGGGCGGCCGGCAGCCTGTGCTGCCCACCCTTCTGTGCGGCCCTTGTTTTATTAACACAGACATCAGGGGGTGGGACGTCGAGCCCACAGAGGGCCTTCTGGGGCTTGAGGCAACGTTCTCGGCTTTGACATGGGTGTTGATTAAAAAGCCCCTGACCGACCGCCATGGGGTTATTGTTTGATGTGGTTTCTGGGTTCTGCGTTTCATTTTCCAATTAAAAGTGTTTTCCAAAGGCCCCCAGCCCCTGCCTGCACTGCTCCCGGGTGGGTGGGGAGTACACTTGAGAAACAGCTAGAAAGGGGGGAGGGGAAGACACCGGGGAGCTCACTTTTAGGGAGGACCCTGCCCTCCACCCCCAAGAGCTAAGCAGCCAGGTTCTGAGAGCGCTTCACAAGCCCCAACCGAGGGGTTGGTCCTGGCGTCCAGGATGCCATCAGAGGTGGGGGACCCCTGGGCAGATGGTAGAGGTGCAGCTGCCCTGGGCTGGGTGCCGGAGACAGTTCCTGACCGGGGACCAGACAGGCTCCAACAGGCGTCTAGGGAAGCTGAGGTGGAAGTAAGGTCTCTCAGCCCAGAAACTTCAGCACCCTTGCCCTGAGAATGAACAGGGACCCCTGCCTCATAGATCAATGTGCTCACCACCCAGGTGACGGGGACACCAAGACCCTCTTGCCATTTGTCTCTGTGGTTTTACCTGCTAAAAAACCAAGAGTGCCCCACTCAGGGTTACAGGGCTGTGTCAGCCACCTTGCAAAGGAGGGGAGCAATTGGTTCCCATAAGGCGGCAAGCTGCGTGCCAGAGGGCAGACCACATGTAGTCACGACTTTCACTTTTCATTCATCCTGGGTTTCTTCCGCTGGCAAGATCTGTCTCCATGACTAAACCGAGCCATCAGCTTATGAAACTGGCTCAAGGGAGCCCCCAAACCCAGCAGCGAGAAAGCAGACCGTTGCCAGGGGTGACCACCAGAGTCGTGTTGCACCACGTGAGTGCCGAATGCAACCTCTGCCAAGTGTTGGGGCTCAGAGTTAGACGCAAGGACAGGGGACCCGGGACTGGCCACCAAAGGTGTCCCTTTGGCTTCCTGCCTGGAGGTCCTCACAGCCGTGAACCTCGGCTGTCACCGGGTTCTGGTCATCTTTTGCCATGTGCTCTGGTCACGGTACTATTAAGTCAGGTTGTGCTAATCCCTGATAACGGAACCCCTTCCAAATTTTGGGCCCCAGAATCGCTGGGGACAAGGGGGTTGCGGCGCATGTTCCACAGGCCTGCCTCACAGCTGAGCCTGGAGCCTCGGGGAAAGCAGCAGGTCCCTGCGGACGAGGATGGAGGCTGGTGAAGGAAGCACCATCATTGTTGAAATGGCGTGGGCAGGAGCCCTAGGGTCCCCCTGCATGGTTGTAATGCCGTGCTTTGTCCTGGCTTGGACCCCAGGAGGCTCCCCATTCCCCACTGAGTTAGTTAATTGTGCCAGCCTGGCCGATAATCACATGTGGTGCTGGTTGAAAGGCGGAGGGATAAATGGGTGGTGAAGCCTCGCCTTTC